GTAAAACCCAAACCCAAATCCCTTCCTTCGGTTCCACCTACGCTCACCGAAGCCAACCCAGTAGACAAAACCCAGCAACAGGAAACTGCTGTAACACGTCAAGCTTCTACTCCTAGTTGTAGTATGAGTCCAAGAGCTCCAAGGCAAATTCTTCTCGAGAATGCCCTCGACGAGATCGTCGAGCTCCTGACTATTTATCCGAATATGTGTTGCACAAATGTTCTCATATTTCCAATGTTTTGTTCTCAGCTCATTTATTATTTCAATTTCTGAAGAGAAGAGGGGTGTAGAAGTTATACTCTCATCGAGATTTTGTTCTGTAACCACCTTATCATGATTGCTCTGGTTCAGTTTTGAAATGTCGTAGTTCATGTTAAAGTTGGGAATAATTCTCAAATAAAGATTATTCACAAACCAGTAGTCATTGATAATAAGATAGAAATCCGCAGTGCTCCAAGGTGGAAAACTCGAATGGAACATAATAAAGATCCAGTTTTCGAAATAATAGTAGAAAATTGAACAAAATTTTCATATTATAATTAATTTAAGATTGCCACATTATCACTAGCCCAAGCATTAGCCCTAAGGTCAGTAGTAGTTTCTCCTAAAAAGAAATGAAAGAGATTAACTTTTAAGGCATTGGTTGGTATTAGCAAACTCAATTTGCAACTTCGAAAACCTGGCGGAAATCAAAATTATTCAATTTTTTCTCCAAAAATATTGTTTTCTCAGAATATCTCGATATCGGCTAATTCTGAAAGGTGCATTATCTACGAAAATGAGGGGAAATAATTAAAGTCCTGATGGAAATTCGCCAAACCACAAGATGAAACGCTATCGATTTTTTCGTTACTCCTTGCGAGATTCTTCAATCTCTTAGGAAGCACGAATGGGAATATGTCGAGAATCATCGTACGCAATTAAAGAGGATAGAAAGAGATAGTTGGTATTGGAATGTCTTTTGAACTTTTAGAGATTAAATGTTCTTGGTAATACTTCCTTTGGCAAAGAATTGTAACAGGACGTCATTGTATAGTTCCGTATTGTAATAGGAAATCATTTTAATTTCTGATTTGAAGTCGAGTTTGAAGTTATAGAATTTCGTGAACAATTATACCATGCGAAAAGATTTGTTTTAAATACATACATATTATTGTTTCCAGCTGGCTTCAGCTATAGACGTTCTCACGGAAATATTATATTGTTTCGTGTTGAATGAACAAACACACTTAGATACGGGTTTCCTGACTCCATCAAGAGAGATAAAGTTGCGCTGAGCTCGTTGTCTATGGAAATACAAAAATTCTGAGACGTAGTATGAGTTTACTCCGCCTATAAGGTTTTTGATAAAACTTAAACAATCGGAAAAGAAAATTCAGTGAATAAAAATTTTAACAAACCATTTTCATTGGTATATAGGTAATCACGAGCTTAAGTGGAAAAAATCTTCGCTGTCAGCGATATACTTTCGAAAGCGAAAGCTTATTGGGGATTAACGTTGAAATTTCGGCATGATTCGGGTAGAAAATTCGGCGAGGTTCGGGTTGGAAAATTTCGGCGAGTTGCGCTAAAAATTGGCAATTGTCGTGTTGGCTGAAGAGGCGTTGAAAAATCAGTTGAAGTTGTAACAAAACCATTTTTCCTATCCATCATGACGAAATTACCTAGTTTGTGTACGCCCCAAATGTATGTACGGATATCTATGTTCGTCCCATCGCTTTGCGTCTACCCTTGTATTTTGGAGTCCCCGCGTCTAGGAGTTTTCTATATTCAAGGGGTTTTTGTTATGGAAGCGGTTAACGCCAGTTTACCCAAGGCTGTTGCTCAAGAACTTTGTGCCGATTGGCTTCATAATAGTGTGAGAATGAATTTTATTTTTGTATCATAATTCAGGATGATAATAATTTATATGACTCCAAAATTTAGAGGTTCATCAAAAACATAAATTTTCCTGTGAATTTCCAATTAACCTTTTTTTTTTCTGTAAGTATGACAAAGTTTTGAGAAAAAATCCCAAGTACCTAATCCAGTATACTTTCACTAGTCGAACCGTACGTCTGGGAAGACTTATTAGATCCAAATTTCAATTCTAAAACCAATGCTCAAAAGAGAATTTCGTTATAGAGATGTTTACAGTAATAATGGAAAACTTGAAATTTTTACTATTTGGGTGATAGCAGTCGGAAACTTTTTGGTTTCTGGGTTTTGAGAGTATCATTTTTAGTTTGACAATAGAAAGTAAAGACGAGTTTACTACAGACTTCCATTTGGCGTTCTATACAGAATGTTAGACATTTGAGATATGGTTGACGACGAAAGGATGTGCTGACTGGGTTTGTCGAGTACGTCTGACAGGTATTGCTGGTAATGGAAAGAACGCAGATTTCTGAAGAAATTTTCTCGTGGAAATAGAAAAGTGATATTTATGTCGACGACTTCAGTGTTTCGATGATGTCAAGGAGTTAGTGAGTGTGTGTATCTGGAAGAAATCTAAGAGCATATTCGGACTGATAATGCTGGAAATATGGCAGGTAAATATAAAGGTGTCAAAACTAGAATTTCAAAGAACAACGAATTCGCAAGATTCATTCCCTGCTCAGCACATAGTCTGAACTGAGTTAATGCTGCCCAAGTTTCACCCAAAATTAGGACTATTTTTGGAACAGTTCAACAAGTGTTCAACTTCTTTGTGAGTTCGACTATGAGATGGGATTCACTCAGAAAGAAATTGAAAGTAAGTATCAAGGGATCTAGTGACACGATGGTCGACCAAATATAATTCTGTTCATACTTCACGAAACCAACTGAAAATTGTAATAGATATTCTTGAAGAAATGTCCAATGGCAGTAATTGGAATAGAGATACATCAGAAGGTACAAAGCTTTTGCTGAAGCCCATGAAGCAATTTACTTTTATTGTTTTCCTGTTGTTTTGGTATGAAGTTCTTCTGAAGATTAATAATCGAAATCAATCTCGCACTACAGAACCAAAGATTAAATGTTGAGGATGGTGCAAAAATGATAAAGGGGTTATCTGATGAAATTCATAATTATAGACCTGATTTCTTCAAGTCTCTATTAGAATCCTTCAAATCATTCGCTGAAACGATCAATATTGAAGCTAATTTTGTAGAGGAGAAGAAACGAAAAATTAAAAAAATGCCAGGAGAAGAAGCAAATGATGAGGCTTCCATTATGGATAGGAAAAGTCTTTTGAAAAAGTAACTCCTTCAAGTACTAGACTCCATATCGATGCAACTTGGAGAAAGATTTACTGATCTGTCAGACGTTTCTGAAGACTTCAATTTCTTTTAAAGGAATATCTATAAAAGAGTCTTCACTTGGTGAATTGGAGAAGGAAGCTGCGGATTTTGCATTGAAATACAGTTCCGATTTGGATCCGTATGATTTCTTCAACGAATTAAAGAGCTTCAAATTTCAAGCATGACCAATGTTTATGAGAGTATTTATTTATTTACTTTGTTAGAATATTTGTTGTCAGTATTATTGTTTTTGTAGATACCAAAGAAAACTCAGGTTTTAGTTGATTGATTACCACAGAATATATCAATGATTTTTATTATTATTTATTTTCAATTATTTTGTTGATGATTATTAATTTATATAATTTGTTAAAATATCTGTGGTTAGAATAATTTTTCAGTTATTTTATTCGTTCACTCATTTATTTATTGTTGTCTTCATGTTCTTTGAACATTATAGGGATTTCCTTTCGTGCGCTCCAAGCGATAAAAAAAATAACTATTTTTTTATTGTTTTCCATTCATTTTGTTGATTGAGTTTTTGTTCATTACCATTCAAGGAATATGGGAGATTATTGTGAATTAAAAAGTTCTTCAAAATATAATCAATAAATATCAATGAAAAACATGTATTTATTGAAAAATGTATATCTTCAAGGGCGCATTTTCAGACTCTGCCACAGGAGCTAGAATCCTAGTGCCGGCTCTGCTATAACTATCCCCATAATTATATTTGTTACTTGCTGAAAATATTTTAAACGAATTTGGCGTCACTGTAATATTCTTGTGATTACTTGTAGCTATCAGGGTGGGATCAAGGGGGAGGTCGATAGGGAGTCCGAAGGTTTTGCTCCTCCCACCACGCCTTATATCGCCTTTTTCACATGTGGCTACAATAATCACAGATAATCACCTTTACTTTTTTCTTGTAATTTGTACTTACTTGACCCATTCATTTGTAAACAATTCTGTAACAAAGAAAAACAGAAATACACCAAGTTGGTCGACTTGGTGTATTTCTGTTTTTCTTTGAAAAAATTCGGACCACTTTGAGAAGAAGGAATAGTTTCCATGACATAATTGTGTAACTGTTTATGGATTTTCATTTTTGAATAGGTCAGTATGTTGGAACTCATTGTTGAAAGGTATAATAGCTTCAGCCTTAAGAACTTGGAATTTTCATTTTGAAAGCATTGGTATTGAAGCCAATGCTGGATCCGTACCTGCTAGGAGTTGAAGAGAAGGAGCAGTGGTGATACAAATTGCATCAGGTGAGAAGTATTGCAATAAAAATAATTATTCTCCAGAAATTCAATAAGAACACCAATTCCTACCTTATTTCCCTTGGTTCTCATGATGTTCTCTGAACATTACAGGATATCTGTTTTCGTGGGAACCAGAACATAAAAAAAATTCCTGCTTTTCATGGTCCAAAACTCCAACCTGACTAATGATTATGTTCTAAACTGGAATAACTGTAAGGGTTGCTCTTGGGGTTTCTCCATGTTTCAATGAAAAAGTTTACTGAAGAGAAGACACTTATTGTTCATTAGATTTTATATAGGTGCAACCCAAAAATGCAAAGTTAATTTTTTTTAGGTTTCTCATAAAATATCACAGTAAGAAGAATTCATATTTACAGTGTTTTGAGGATATCAACTGTGCACCTAGTATCTACAGTATACCTGATGCAAGTTGTATATCCCTCTTCAATTTCAATAAATATCAAATATTTACCTGTAATAGTATCACACACAGTTTCTCTGAGATTAAGAATGTGCTGGTTAACAATAACAATTGCAAACAATGATGACAGTGCTCTACCAGAACTGAGCAACATGTTTTGCATTTTCCACCATCTTGGTCCTAGAGCATTCCCTATACTCTGTTCTCTTTCAAGAATGGATAAAATAAACACATTATTGGGATAATTTTCAATGGCTGTATAGAGCACATCATCAAGGAGTTTGAAGAATCCACCATATTTTGTTTCCATACTATATTTGAACAAAACTGCAATATAAAATTCATAAAGTATTTCTTTTTGCCAGCTTGCTTCAGTACTATTGTCTTCAAGCTTTTGTAAAATTTCAGCAAGAAATGTGTAACACTCTGTAGGTCCCTTCCTCAAATATAAATACCAACCATGAATTATAAGCCAATCAGTAGCAAAATCTGGTAGAAAATGTTGGAGTGTAGGCAAATTGGAAACTTTTGTTCCTATTATCTCAGCAGAAATAAAATCTAACTTAGCCTCAACCTTGTTCAGTATGTTCTCATTTGGTTGAATATCCTTTTGAATCAAAACCATCTCACAAATCAACTTCAATGCATCTTCATTCCTTTCAGACCTGGTATAATCATCACATAGTTTTGAGCATAGTTTCATCTGTATTAAATTTTTATAGAGATAACACCAATTTTTCTGATTGTTTGGCCAATTTTCTGTAACAAACTCAGTTTGTTTATTGAAACTTAGTGCTGTGTTTATTATTTTGAAGCAGTTATCCTTATTTCCTAGTTCATACTCTATGAGAGCATATTCCAAATAGTATATTTCATTCTGTCTATTTTCATCATGTTTTAGAAACTCCCTCACAGTTTTCTTGATCTTTTTCTTGAAAGAATCAGCCAATATAAGAAGTTTTGATTTATCCAATATTATCAATAGTCTCTGAAATCTGAAAAACCATACAGTAATTGCAATTTTATTATCTCCAGATAAACAATCTGAGGAATTTTCCATAATCTTCAGTATAAACTCCAAATATTCTTCTTGTCCAGGCAGTTTCTTCAAATACTGAGGGCCAACAGCTAATCTATTATCAGTCCATAAGTGTTCATTTTCCATTTCAACTGGATAAATGGGTAGAAACATAGATAACAGAGGTTCAATGGAGTCCAGACTCCAAGGTACATAGTCTAATCCTAGATCTTGCATGGTAGTATGGCGACAAGGTAATAAAGGAATTTTAATAAGAGTAAAAATAGTGGCTGTCAGCTTGAATATATTTTCAGGCTTTGTTATAGGGTGTATGAGTTCTGCAACATCTTCAGTAAATACAATTCTTTGAGGGTCTTCACAATTATTATCCTCTTCTGTATATGGTACCCAATGACAAGACTCCCTTAATCTTTCAGTACGCAGCCAAAGTTCATGCAAAGGTAAGTTAGATGTGAAAATGATATCTTCTAATTCAGTCAACTGATTTTCTCTGAATCCTGAGGATATGTTGAATTTTGACTTATCATTAGAAGATAAATTCAATTCTAAGTACATTTTCAAGAGTGTCCAGAGCTGTTCAAACAATCCAGCTTGCTTCAAAAACAAGCAGCACTGATAAAGCATTCTCAAAATAGACTCTTCAAGTAGATACTTCTCAACAGATGTGGATCTTCTCAACTGATGCAAAGTTGATAAACACTTTGAATATAAATTCAAAACTGCAGGAGTGTTGCAATGGGACATAGAACACTGTGTGGCTTCAATATATCCTTGCCACAATATTATATTACTCTTATCTTTATTCACAAGTTCTTTCAAGTAATTCTGAAGTTCATCTGCTGGAAAAGCAGTAACTGCTATATTCAATCGTTTCCGGTGAAGTAAGTCACAACTTGAGTTGAGAGATATTGCCTTATCAATGATAGCAAGTTTTCTTTGTGCTAGAACAATTTGTGCTTTAGCAATACTACCCTTTCTATATGTTTTCTCAAACTCATACACTGTATCTTGGAACTGAATATATTCTAACCATACCTTTATGTCAGCAGGACAATTTGTTAAATGTCTGTTGTAAAAAGCAGTTTTCTGAGACAGTTCTTCCTCATGTTTGAATCCACTATAGTGGTCATCTCTTTCAGCAAATTTCACAGTATCAAGATTGCGTTTGGTTAAAACCATTTCATCCTCTGTTTTATTGATAAGTTTTTCAGGAATGTGTTGATGATATCTTTTATATTTTTTCTTGGAATATATATATTTATGTGATGCATTCAAATGTAATGTGGCATGGTATTGGGGAGCTGAAGGGCGTGATATAGTTGATACCATCAGTAATTCCCGATTTCCTTTAGGATTTACTTCGAAAAACTCATTTTCTTCAATAGTGGCTGTAGAGACTACTGATATCTCATCCCCTCTTCCTTTCTTCCCAGTTTTTTTCTTCAATGACTTTCTTCTTTTTCTGGATGTACTAGCAGATTTTGATGTTTCTTCTTCTAGAAATGAATCACTATCAGTTCCAAACTTTCCCAACGTTATATTATCACTTCTACTTGGAGACCTTGCAATGAAGTGGAAACTTGAATTCTTAAGCCATGTTTTATCAGAATCTTTGGTTGCACTTGCACTAGTTGATTCCTGTACTGCTTGTTCCGCAAACGCAGGAAATATTGACATATTTAGTAGGATATTCTCATTAGAGAAAATCAACCCACTCTCAGAAAACTGGAGGGTCAAATATTTCAGGTTAGGTTTATTTGTTATGATTTCATTGGTTATGATCTTGTCATGATATGAAGAAAAAATCAGCCAGATTTTAAACAACCATGACTTTCGATATGGAGATATTTTTCCTCTATGTGAAATGTCTGCTCTCGAGATTTGTCACTTTCAGTGAAATTTGTTTTTTCCGAACAAATATTCATCAGATTCAATACTGACAGTTGAATTCGGAACATATTCTTGGCCCCAGTGGGGTATGTTGGGTATGTTACACTACACTGCTCGCCAACAGTCATGGAACCACCCACACCACATTTCAAGCTATACAGTATGATGCAAATATATGGAATAAATTCATTATTTCAGAAATGGGCGACATTTGAAGAAATTTCAAAAACACGTGAGTTTTAATTTTTGAAGCCTCATCTCATGACATTCATATGAGAGTTGTTACGTCACTGATGTAGAAGTAATGGACGATTTTTTCAAATACAAGCAGGGGTCATGTGACACCTCGTTTGAAAGGTCTACTGATCGTCTATCCAACAGTCAAAATTTTGCATAAGAATATTGCAATTAAAATGGATTATCATTTGGTTAACTGAATCTTGCAGAGGTCTGCTACTGAGAATTGAACATCGAAGGGTCGTCTAGTTGAAAAAATACACAATAAAAAAAGTTCTGAACTCTAGTTTTTGGATTTTTTTCGGAAGTCGTCTTGTTTCGAAATGAATTTATTCCATACATTTGCATCATACTGTATATAGAGCCATGATACTAAAACCTGAAACCAAGTATCATTAGCTAAGGGCCATATTTATGATCGCTCCTTAAGGTGACCTCGTCCCTCAAGTCCTCAAGGACCAATTTCCGATTTATAGTCATAATATAAGATCCAAGGAAGCCTCAAGAAACTGTAAATTCCACGGAAGGTGAAGAGGTCCCTTGATCAAATTCTCAGTATTATTTCAGGTTATGTTATGAATTCCATGAATGAAGTGATGAAATTGAATGTGGTGATCAAATTAATATTCCAGTCTTGAAATGTGTATAGAGAATCTGATTCGGGTATATCGATTTTCAGTAGAAGCTGATTCAAGTTTAGTTATCTATTTGTATTCATTTATTTCAAATAATAGGTATATATCACGAATAATGGAAACTCTGCATATTTTTCACAATTGTATATGGGTATATCATCTTGATGATTTGTTCATAATTGAAATACATGCCCCAAATAATCAAGTAAAATGAACATACATTTTCAATGAACAACCACAAACAATCACAGATTCATTCGAAGTATTCAATCAAATAGGAATTTTTCCTCTCCCTGGCTGGCATATTATTTTATCGCAGCTTGAAAGAATCCGTGGTTAATTGAGTGATTTTTGTATTGTAATTTTCCCTCATCGTAATCGATAAACTCTTCGACCCTTTCTTCATTATGCGGAACCTTGGATATATTTTGTCTGTGATCGAAGATCAGCAGAGTGATATATCGTTAGGCCCAATTTGGATCAACCTTTGAAGATTTATTACTGTATATCACTAGAATCTTTGGAAAATTTGACATTTCGCAATTGGTGACAAACACGTGACATGAAACAATAACTTTGGTCACAGAGCACTGAAATTATACACTGTTGCCAAGTGTAAGTGATCCTTTCAGAAGGAATACTCAATGAGGGAACCATTAAGATATTGTTAAATATAGGATATGGTGTAATTACTAATGCGCTTTTGTTTCAGAAATTTTACTCGACCTCTCGTGAGCAGCGAGAGCAATGGTTCCGTTGGTCTTCTAATAGATGGCGACATTGCACAATCATGACAAGGTTGGTAGAACTGATGACTATTTTGTAGAGGAAGGTTGCCTCGATCGCACCCCGCGAGTGACCTTGAGTAACTCATGACGTAATAGGCCCTTTCTTTTGCACGAAAAGTGTAGCACTGTCGTACAGTTCGTGTATGATATGTACGCCGGCGATTGGCCGGCGCATGTATTGAGTTGACAGTTGTCAGTATTTTCGAATATTTGAACCATTTTGAACTTAAAAATGATAATTTGTTCGGTCACTTCTTGTTAAAATTCGTACAAGTGTAATGAGACTAGTGAATTTAGTTTGTGTTTCCATTAATTTCCATAAGATGAGTCTATTCGTGAGAAATATGGATTCAATTTTGTGGACGTAATTTTAATTCATTTAATAACAAAACTTGGCGAATATGTTCTGCCCATTTCGATGCCGAGGATTTCGAACGGCACAAGCAGAATTGCTAAATCACACACCAAAGAGATGAAAACTCAAGGTAGGAATCCCATCAAATAATACCAAATACAACAAGAGAAACACCATAAGTATTCAAGTTTGGAAAAATGATCAGAGCCAGACCAGTTGTGAATATTGAGATTCTTGCTGAACGGGTAAAATGGACATCAGAAGATATCACACGTGTTTTCAAGTTGAGATATTTGAGCAAGAGTACGTTACCCAACGAAGAGGAGCTATGTTTATTTGAGAGATTCCTTGAACTATCCTTCATTATAGGTTCACTTATAATAATAGTGTTATTTTTCATTAATTTTGTTCAGAATCATATTTTGTTATTTTTTTATGCTCAAATACTTCGATCAATTGCTCTGTTTTTGACTACAATATAATCAAACAATGAAATACTATTTCCTCTTGTATTTTCTATAGGTATCTAGGAAAGTTTGTCAATTTTTCAGAATACAGAGTTATATTGATAAAATAAGTGATCTGTTGTGTACGAATATTGGTCCACTGCTACTACTTCTGGATCATCAGTTGATTATTCTTATATTTTCTGTAGTTTCTTGTTGACATTATCTGATTTGCAGGATATTCATAGGATGAGTAGGTTCATAATCAATGCATAAGTAATCACTAGCTCCATAATTATGCTCCATACCTCAAAACACACATACCTGGTACCACGACCTGGTAAATAGCCCTTGGAACAAAATTTCAGATAGGTATCCCTCTCTGTACTACTGATCCATCCAAAATTGCCTTCTCATTTCGAAGATTGAAGGTATTATACAGAAGTATATGTAAATATCCATATTTTTTAATGGTACTTACTTATAATTATAATTATATACAATAAATTAATATAAATATGCTGAGCAGACCAAAAAGTTTGTATCATGTTTGTATACTCTATTTGGTAAACATTTCATGACATGTCGCTTTGACAACTTGTCGTCTTACTGCCTGTGACGTCACGAGTGACCGTTTCCCCCCTTGCCGCACTATCGATCGAGGCAACCTTCCTATACAAATTATAATCAGTTCTACCAACCTTGAATCATGACTTTTGTCAGTTTTGAAATTGTCGCAGATTTTTAGAATTCAGAGTTGTTGGTTTAATCCCACTGTTACATTATGTTCCGCGTACCTAAAATGACTTTTGCCATTTTATTTCCACCCGTCACAGCAGCAATAGCAGCATCACCATCTAGCGGGAAAATGTAGAATCAACGTCTCGCTCGTTGTGACGTAGATAAATCATAGTAGGCCGGTCGAGTGATTCTTCCGAAATTTTCAATACGTAATAATGGCCGAATACGCGCACCATATCCCACTTCCATCATTGGATACTCAAAAGGGAAGTCTATGAAACAAGTTCAACATCAAGTACTGAGGAGTCCTCAAGGGATCCTCAGATAAGGAAGACTTGAGGAGTTCTTAAGGAAACGATTATAAGTACGGGCCCTAGACCAGCGAATCTTTCAAACATCGAGGTCAAGTGACGTCACCCACAACACATTATATATCTTCCTAACGATCTGCTGATCAGTATTTTGGTGAAGGTGGTGGGAGGCAGCTACGTCATAATGACGTAAACATCAACCATTTTTGAACTCCTAATTCTTTTACCCTAACCAGGTCACCCAGTTACATCCTCAGGTTATTTCATTTTGAATTCGAAACAAAAAATATCAGTTGTTTATGTGTTATTGTTAATGTGTGAACCTAATTGTTCATGTCTATGAAAATAAAAAATGAGGAAATTTAGTTGTGTGCAACCATGTTGTTCATGATGGATGATTTGACCTCTGTTTTGTTAGGAGGAAAAGACAGATTACTTCATTCGATAAAAGAGATGGCATCATCGGAGTATTGCCACAATCACTGCCCTAAGAGGTATCAAGTGTCATTATTTCAGGAATCGTAATTTCTCATAAACCTGGATAAATTATTACCTAGAATCAGATTTCTATCGAATGTTCCGGAAGTGGAGAGATAGTTGGAACCATTTAGCAATGAATATAGTATAGGTTCTCCTCTTCGCAAATAGATCCAAAATATATTGTTGAAGGAGCTTGTCATCATTGTGGAAACATGAAATTACGTAAATGAACTTTTAATTCGTACAATCGCCCGTATATCTCGTACATCCACTATATTGATTTGTGATTTGAGTGGTCAAGAATGGATCGAAACTATAATAACTTTATTGGGAATATTTGGAATTCCCATTTCATTTGGGAACAGTACAATAACCTCTAGTCTAGATCATATTCACAGAATTATTTAGATCACAGGATATCAGTAGAGAATTACGATATTCAAAGGAGATTATAGTTCAGATTTCAATCCTATTATTATTCGAGTAAAGTCGCTGACGGGCAAAAACTGCTGGTTTTGGATTTTTCCTAATCGATTACCACTAACAAAACCGACATGAAAAAGTATTAAAAAAAAAATCGGCGATTGTGGTTCGGACAATGGACCGTAAAGTATAGTTTTTTCAAATTCGCTAACAAAAAATTAAATCTTGAACATTTTTGCATCTAGTCTTACCTTCGTGAGTGGCAGTTCCAATCCTCCAACGAAAAGCGAGCTTTCTGTAAGTACGTTTTTTAATATAACTAGTTTTAGTGTTCTTGTTTTGTTTTTATTTGAGTTGGATATATCTTGCTGGAAAATTGGTCAATTCATCTCATGCCCGAAATGTTTTTTAATAAAGATGAATAAATTTGTAAAGTGGAGTTGAAATCT